GAATATTCGTTAACTATACCAACATCAGAAAACGTGTCAACAGACTCTACACCGGCTACTTCTTCTGGTAAACGAGGAAGACCGTGTGTGTCATATGGAGACTCTTCAGAATCAAGCAAAAAAAGAAAAAACACCATTTTGCTAAATGAATATGGTTTGGAGCACATTCTAAGCGCATATCTTCAAGGATAATTTTGCAGGCTTTGTCATCTGGTATAGTGGTAGATAGTAAGAAATTTGGTAATTATGCTCTGGAAACTGCAAGAATATAAGTGAGTAAATATAGTTGGTATTACATGCCATCATCTGTCCACAAAATTTTAATTCACGGAGAGAGTATCATAAACCATTTCGCGGTATTACCAATTGGGCAACTTTCAGAAGATGCTCAAGAATCTCGCAATAAGGACTATAAAAAATTTCGCTTACACCATGCTCGGAAATGCTCTCGAATAGCTACAAACGAAGATGTGTTTAATACACTACTTTACACTTCAGATCCATATATAACGAGCATAAGAAAACCATATGCAAAAAATGTAAAGGAGCTCGATGAAGATATTTTACACCTTCTCAAGGTTAATGAACTTATTTCAGATCCTGAAGCTCACCGGGTGTAAGATGTCAATCTTGCTGAGCAAAAAAAAAAGAAATATATATTGCGATAATTTTTATTTGTTTCTGTATGTTAGCGTAGTGTTAAAAATATTTTACCATTTTTAATTTTATATTATCAATATAATATGATAGTTATCTTAATAGAGTAATTAGCATTAAGAAATAGACGTACAATATGTTTCTAAAAAATATTTCAATAAATAAATAATACTAATAATACTATTTTAAATCATTTTGTGACTTTTCTTTTTTAATTAAAAAAAATACGCATAATTCCAATTCATCAAACATTACTTATATGAATCCTTATGTATCACTTTATATTATAGCAAAATTTTATAAGTCTATCTTTCAAATTGACGGAGTTACAGATTTTTAATCCGAAACACATCGAAATATTCCACAGTGCATCGGTTCGTAAATCTACGCGAGACCTTGTACTGAGAAGAACCGGCAAGAAACTCAGCAAGGGCTGTTTTTTCTCCCTGTTTTGTTATTTACAGAGTCATCAACTTGAAAATGATCTTCACCTTTCATTACATAATGATTAAATGTACATTAATTGTTTACCTGCATTTTGATTGCTGCGTCATAGAGTATAAAAACAAATAGTGGTATTTATCTTAAGTGTAACTAAACACTAACATCTTCAATATTAAGGAAGTTAGGGCTTCATTTCCACTGGCAGCACCCGTTCACGAGCATGAACCAGCTATCGCTTCAACCATATTTAAGGGAACGTAACGACCCGCCTCACACGACACCGCCGAATAGACTATTAAGAGAGCATGACTACATACATCATGAGCCTATTAATCTTTAAAAAAAAAACGACGGGTTGCACTCCGGGAGTGCCGGCAGAAGTGAAAACTTGAACATTAACGTTGTGCATTTTTGATATTTTGGAATGGGTAGGGAATAATTTTGCACGAATTTCTTTAATTATCAGTATAAAAGTACTATCATTTATGTGGTAGAATACAATATTTATTTATTGCGCTATCGTACACAAACATGACAATTTATATTATATTATTTATTAAATAAACATTTATTTTCATTAGTCAGACATAATTTATTATTAGAAAAGACACTAGCCAGTTTATGATAAATACACTCGGAGAATTGCTTGGGATGCGTGCATAAAAAAAATTACATAGGTCCTGCCTCGAAGGGCGCTGGCGCCGTACTGATCGACGAGCGTCGTCACGCCAGAAAGCCGGTTTTACGTCTTAGATTAAAACAAAAATGGTAGATACGGCACTAGCCTCGCAAAAGTGATCCGCACCAATTGTGGTCCACGACCCTAATCGCATTAGTCAAAACTTGACATGCAAACGACGTACATGTGAACGCCAAAAAGAAATATTGCTAATATTTTGTGTTTATATGATAAAACAATCCCTAAGTGTGTTTTTAAAAAGTGCTCAAAATTGCTCAAGAACTAAAAATAAAACCCACGGCATCACTTTTCATTCGTAAGTACTATAAAATATATTTTTTCATAAAAATTGCTGTTTGTTTTGAATCTTATTCGGTAGTGACGTCGAGTACTGGTCGCCTGATTGGTCGGTAATGCAGTGACGCGGATCTCGCCGTCTCGTTTGCGCTGCCGTTAAAACTCAACGTGCTGTTTCGCTCGGGTCGGTAATGCAGTGACGCGGATCTCGCCGTCTCGTTTGCGCTGCCGTTGAAACTTAACGTGCTGTTTCGCTCGGGTCGGTAATGCAGTGACGCGGATCTCGCCGTCCCGTTCGCGCTGCCGTGGGATCAGTTTTTGTTTGATGCAAGTATGAGCGTACCGCATCTACCCTTTTTGTTTTAATCTAAGTTTTACATGTGCAAAAAGATGTTTCACATAGAAAAAAATACCTTGTTCACTACTACTCGACTCGGTGAAACTCGGCGTGCCCTCCGTCCAAGTCGGGGTAGATCCTTCCACTGACGCGGGAGGTGTCCAACACACGCTGCAATATACAATTCACTGTTGAAAACTGCGCAATGGTGTATTTATTATTTATTTATTTATTCAAAACAGATTACACTTTTATAACAGGTCCATACCTGATTCAATAGTGTAGTCGTCCTATCAAACAAAACTTACAATAAATTCTTATAAAATTCCATGAATCGTTAATATTATTATTTCAATACTGTAAACTATTAAAAAAAATACAATAAATATTTCAATAAAAAAAAATCAATGTCAATCTAACTAAATGTCAATTAAAAATTTATATGTTTTCTTTTTGGTAAATAAGGTTTACTTATGTTATTCAGCTGTGTACATTTTTGCTGGCCTTTGGCTGTTTAATGTACCTTTACAAATAAAATAAAAAAAAAAAAAAAAAACAAAAAAAATGAATTTAAAATGCATTACCATTTCGATTATAGAATAAAAAAACTTAAAATATAATTGTGACGTTGTAGGGGGTACTCTGGACCTATTGAACCGATTTTGAAATTCTTTTAGCAATAGAAAGTAACAAGTAGTCATTACACTCGCAGCACTCGAAGCACCACGACGTCTTTCCTACGCGCTTGAAGATGTTGTTGACGAGGAATTGGTCCTTCTTCTTTATAATATTGAAGTATAGAAAGAAACAAAACATCAAACCTTGCTTCATTACTCCTCGCACTGCTCAAAGTAGCTGACGTCAACGCTAGAGAAGTAATAATAAGGCTAGCAGCTCTTGAAGACGTAATGGACGAAGATTTGGTCTATCCTTTTTATGATATTAAAATAGAAAGAAACAAAACATCATACCTTGCTTCATTACTCCTCGCGCTGCTCAAAGCAGCAGGCGTCAACGCTAAAGCAGTAGTCATATCGCTAGCAGCACTTGAAAACGTAACGGACGAGGAATTGGTATTTCCTCTTTACAATATCACAGTAAAGAAAGAAACAAAACATCAAACCTTGCTTCATTACTCCTCGCGCTGCTCAAAGCAGCAGGCGTCAACGCTAAAGCAGTAGTCATAACGCTAGCAGCACTTGAAAACGTAACGGACGAGGAATTGGTATTTCCTCTTTACAATATCACAGTAAAGAAAGAAACAAAACATCAAACCTTGCTTCATTACTCCTCGCGCTGCTCAAAGCAGCAGGCGTCAACGCCAAAGACGACGCTGAAGAAGTAGTCATTACACTAGCAGCACTCGAAGCGCCACGACGTCTTCCTGACGCGCTCGATGATGTTGTTGACGATGAATTGGTTCTACTCGTGCGCGGAGGTGGAGCCTCTTCGAATGGGGGCGGCGGCGTTGAGCAACACGATAACGGGGCGGCCGCTGGGAGAAAACTAGCGTTACTAATGACTAGCGAACAATAACTACATGGAATATATTTGTAAGGTATTTATTGTAGGTACTCGAAAAATGGAAAAGGTGGATGGAGAATTTAAGAAGGCAAGGTAGTGAAATAGAAATGAGGTTGATAAGGATGTTTTATTGTGGAAGTGGACTATTTCTACATAGGAAGGGCTAGGGTTAGGATAGATGAAGAATTTACGACGACAGATATTGGAGAAATAAATCGCTATAAAAAAAATATGAGGGTAGTTCTGTTTTCTGTCTAAAATGGCAAAGTACTAGAAAGGGGTAGATGGAGAATTAACACAGACAAATACTGGTGAACTAAGTGTTGATTCAAATACAAATGAGGATGTCAAGGAACATTTAAAAATATATTTAGACCACCTGCACCAATGTTCTTAAATCAAAAAAAGTCAATCACCTTCAAATCTCATTCTTTCTCTATCTTCTTTCTGACTTTATACAATCAATAACGATGAAATGGTGTCTTAAACAAGATTAACCCTGATGAACTAAGAATGTTGATGATTGTGGGTCTTATTGTAGTATTGAAAGATAAAGAAATAGGGAAGATTCATGATAAAATCTACTTGGTTTTGAATTAGAATAGAAGAACGGTAAAGGATTTACTATGACTACGAATACGTTAAAAGGTAGTGTTCATTTAAAGATATTAAATACCTAAAGTGCAGCAAAACAAAATAAACGCATAACAGCAACGAAATGATGCGCATTATGAGATGCAATTAGTCAATTATTAAGTAAAATACATACAAAATAAGGTTTATTAATAATGAATAGGGCAGTATGTTAGGCGGACAAACACAAAATACGGTACAACACAAAAACGCTACAACTACATAGTTTACTTAATCAAATGGATAACTACAATATCTCATAAACATTAAAAAGGTATTATAGACTACTGAAAAATAGGAACTCATAAGCAGCTCCGTTGTTCGACTCATCAACGAATTTGAAATTTAATTTAATTACGATATTATTGGTCAATATTGCACTTGGCTTCCAATTCCACCAATCAGTGATTTGTTTTGTCTTCGAAATGTTTATAATACTTCTTCCACTTCTTTTCTCATTTTGAAAATGTTCCTCTTTTCCGATCTTTTTTTGAAACTGGCTCTCTTTTTCTGCCTTGGCACTTTGTGTGGCACTTTTGAATCAGAAACTGTCGCTTCGGTAAACTTTTTTATTTTATCATGAACGTTACCACTTATGGATTTCGAAATGATCGGATTAACTGTAGTAACGCTTAGGGAGTAATTGGATTTCTTATCTATGGAACTTGAGCTACCGTATTGAATCGGCTCAAACCTCTTTCTAGCTTCCTTGACCAAAATTTTCTTGCCCAAATCAGGAGTCTTATGAGATATTTTACTGTCCTGGGAAGATGAAAACGAACTCCTTCTAGAACTGTTTTCTGAGTCTGATTGTACTTTCAAAATGTGTTTTTGGAACATATCAATTTTGGTTTTGGCTTTCCTGTGGCACACCACTTCGTCTTTCGTCATACCCTTAGAGTGTTGTTCATTATAAGTTTTTATTACAACTTTTGGTTTAGGTTTTTTCGTGTCGTGCACTCTGTTTCTATCTCTCTTAGATTGGTTGAAATTTAACCGTTTAGTCAAACCAGCCATTAGTCCAGGCTTTGCATTTGCATCATATCCGTCAGACTTCTTTTCTGTTTCTGCTCTATCTGATTCGCTTTGACTCGTATGCCTTTCAGATCTGGGAGTTTTTCTCAAAGCTTTCGCTGCTGATATTAAATCAGATGATTTAACATTATGGACACTAAATCTTTCGCCTGGTATCTCTAAAGACATAGGAGATTTACGCGACAGTTTGTCACCTATATGGGAAACGACTCCTTTAATAAATTGAGTCGGACTTTTGGACTGTCTGCCCTTTAAGTCAATACTATCCTCATCTTTTAATCCCATCACTTCATTTTTATTATGTTCATCTTCAACTTCGTAAACCACTATTCTCTCTTCACTACTAGAATCTGTGAATGAAGTATCTTGATAGTTTCCAGTATCCAAGTGTTCTCTGACAGCATTATCGACATTAAACTTGGCCATCATAGTAGTTTGCGCTATCAAATCTTTACCAGGACGCGACCTCTCGGTTATACTATCTCCTTCTTCGACGAAGTCTAAGAAAGAGTTGGATGCAACGAGTTTCGTCAATTTAACAGAATGTTCGGACACAGACGGAGGGATGCGGCATGCAACAGGCTCTGTGAACTTAAAATCATGCCCATAGAAGCAGAAATCGTCATCGCTGCTTGTAAAGGGTGTTTGCGGAGGGATATCGTTCACGGATATACTCAGATTGGGGTAATCACCTTTGGTATCCAAACTGGAAGTTTGCGAGTTCCCACCGCCGCGTTTCGCTTTCGGTGAACCCCTAGGGGGCACTGGAGGCGGCACTCTCTGCTTTTGAGACCCTTTCAATACAGCAGGGAATGCCACGTCAGGATCATGATTCGATGTTTTTGTAGATGACATCGTTACGTTCGCGGCGGTAGACACCGGTGACGTCACCGAAGTGGGGGTAATATGAGCTGTGACGTCAGACAATGACACTACACGGGGAGAGCACAGAAACACCCAATAAGTTCGTATAAGGTTTTTAATAATTGTCATGTGAAACACAAAATTTGGCACGTTTGTTTTCCCATAATGTACAAGTGGTAACAATTTTAGTTTTAGTAAAAAGTAAAATTTTATAAGATAGTTAGAAGTGTAAATTAACAAAAAAATATACAATGTTTAAACAACATATAGTTTTGTGTTACAAAATGGAAGCGTAGTTTCGTCGTTAAAAGTATTGGCAGTTTTTCATATGTCCAAAATAGCATGTTTATATTTATATTTTTTAAAAGGAGCTGACACCCATTTGAGTTGTATATTATTTGGTGCATGTTATAGAAAGAAAAGAGTGATATGTTCATAGTTATTATACAAAGCATGCATTACCGGATTTCACACGTGTGGGGTATACCAGAGAGGACAGATCCAAAAGGTCGATAGCAGCATGGAAAAGAGGAAAGATTATGAAAATAAGTTTAACGGTGCGGCTCAAGGGAATTGCGATCGACGCCCGATAATTATGTAAGCGAAGCAAGGTCGAGTTTTGTGTCAACACTGAACTAAGCTTAATAGGGATGATGACTATTTTTTTTTCTTCGTTTATCAGGTAGATTATCAAAGAGTATTGGACACGTATTTTTTCTTTTTTCACATAATATAAACATTGCAGTGATATATTGATTTGAAAAGTCGCATGACGTCACGTTTTGGTACGATTTTCACTTCAAAGTGACGTCACGAGCCCCAAAATTTGACGCGCCATAAATTTGTCATTTTTTGGTTGATTGCCCAAAGAAAAAAATACGTGTCCATTATTTTTTGATCATCTTACTGACGGACTAAATAGAATTTCGTTTACTGTATCCCGTCATCACCCCTATTGACGATTTCGATAACATTGAATCGTTTATCATGGTCGATTGACAGAGCATCAAATGTGCAAAAAAATTATCTTAGAAGTTTATTTTTTAAATCGATCGCGATCTGCGATCTTAAAGTGCTCTACGCACTATCGGTTCTGCTAGATCCAGCATGCGGGAGGACGCTATACACGTAAAAGAGATGGAGATACAGGATCTCTTTTACGTTTTTAGCTCTGTCCCGGATGCTGAATAGTGCGTAGAGATTCACATCGCTAAATAATCCTTTCATACCTACATAGACTTCATAGACAATTAAAATGCTAATAGTAGGGGAACCCAAGCGGGGATTTTTGGATTTACTCGAGCGCGGCAGAATAACATATGGGGAGCAACCTTGCACCTAGTTAAGTACTACCACCATACCTGAGCAAAAACAAAATTTCAACAAACGGCCACAACTTTTGGTCGGGTCCAAATCGTCAGTCTTTTGAATAGGAGCTACTGGAGGGTTCACGTAACATCCCTTCTCAATGTCTGACGTGCTCGGTTATTTTTTCCTATATTCTACCCCTACGAACGGCCACCCCCATATCATGCAAACCGCGGCAGATCAATATTTTTTCCGTTCTTAGAAATGTTACATGAACCCTCTAGTAGCTTAAATCAAAAGACTGACGATTTGGACGCGACCAAAAGTCATGACCGTTTGTTGAAATTTTGTTTTTGCTGCCCTAGACGTTCGGGCCTACATAGAGGGCTCAGGTATGGTGGGAGTACTTAACTAGGTGCAAGGTTGCTCCCAATATGTTATTCTGCCGCGCTCGAGTAAATCCAAAAATCCCTGCTTGGGCTCCCCTACTATAAGTGACTCCTTGCGATTCAGGCGAACTATGGACGTATATAAGTAAGCTATCAATAAATGAAGTGATAGGAATATCATAATCTTTCCATTGGGCAATATTACAAACTTGCTCAATGCTAAAATGTGTCATCGTTGATATACGACTATAGGGTGGTGGTTATACAAATTCTTCACTTTTGTGGCAACAATTTCGATACTCTGTCCAATCAACCCAAAAGAATTTATATTTGTATTACGCTATCAAAAAATTCAATGCTATCTGAAATTCGTTCAGTTGTAATTTCGAAATTAATTATATATTAATAGCTTTTTTACACTGAGCACAAGATAAAGCTATTTACTCGTATTGAATGTAAGTTTGTTGTTTGGGTTTTTGCCCAAACACAGACCAAATGTCAACATCAAATAACATAGACAAGCATTTATAATTAAAGCTTTCTCTAGCAGCCTTTTAACTTGTCACCACTTCCATTTAAAAATATTTTTTATAACTTTCCGTCATATTCTTTTTTGCTTTCTTAAGCGCATTTGTATATTTAATACTTGAGAATTACAAATGAATAACAGAATGTTCTGACGTTCATTGTATTCTCAAGAGTCAATTTTTTTTTTTCAAAACTAAAGACCTAAGCTAAAACACACTCGGAGATTGCAAATAAATTCATGAATAAAGGAAATCGGATATCTATTAGGTTAGTTGAGTAGGTATTCAGATTTTTTTTTGTTTAATATTGCCAGTCTCACCTGCTTTCACGCCGGCCACGCCGCTCGAACTGCCCGCTCCTAATCCGTTAGTAGCGTGAAATGTTAGTACCATTCATTAGTGTTGCCACAGCAAAAAAATATGTTAACAAATAGTAGAATTAATGTATCGTCAGTATCCAATACATATTGATAAGACACTAAATAGAGCATGCAAATGATGTGTATGAAGTGATTTTTTTTATTTTTTTTAATGAAAATGACCATTTTCGTGTGTAGTAAACAGAGGGTGTTTCATTTAGCTAAGCAAAAAAATTTTTTTTTTTTTGCCGACTTCGCCAGCCCCCCGCGTCTCAATGATATAAAACTTATCCATGCCAAATTTCAAGAAGATCACTTTTGAAAAAATTATCAGATTCGTCGTTCTGGCAAATTTTTATTATTTAAAAAAATTAAAAACCTTAGCCAGGGTGATTACAGTCGTGCTAAATTAACCAAAAAATGAAACATCTTCATAGACGCTAGATAGGCATAGACATAGATAGAAGCTCAATGGTTTTGTGTTCAACGAATGGCTCGGTAGTACACCGACGCGGTTTCTTTGTCGTCGTAGGCAATAAAGGTACGCTACGGTGTAGCACTACAGCGTAGACAGTAAAAACGTAACGAGGTCATTCATCGATAGATTTCACTCCTCACATTTTTCTCGTACCGGCCCCTTATATATGCAAATCGATTCTTAAGGAGTAAACTCCAAAAAAAAACAGTTTGTGGTAACTTATATTTATGAAAGCCTGATTGATGGAAGCCTTTGTAAAGCACAAATATGTGATTGATGCCTTTACTCTGAGGCTCGTATTACAGAATTACAACTAAGTGTTGATCTTTACTTGAGTACAGTTAGAAAGGCTTTGTATAACACATTACGACCTCCCTTTCTAATTGTACTCAAGTTAATAATAATAATAATGTTTATTGACATACTTTTTACAATTTATGTTTGATTTCCCTGCATTCCAAAATAGGACTTAGCCTGTAGTATGGAATCCAGTGTCCTCTCCAATTATGTACTTACAATATTATCTTAGCAGTTGTACCGTATATAACAAAACACTACTATTTTTCTTGACAGTAAAAATAAATAGAAAAAATAACTAATTTACATAATATGTGTGCTTGTGTGTGTGTGTATGTCTGGGTGTTGCGTGTGTATGTAGGTGCGTCCTGTCTTGAACCACATAAATATCAAATAATAATTTATAACCACTGTGCTTTACTTCCTATATCCGGGTGTTGTCAATCAGTAGATCCTCCAGGCCATCATAATCTATGTCGAACAGCCAATCATTAATAATTTTCTTTAAGCTAAAATTACTACACTTTTTTATCTTTTTAATGTTATTTAATTTGTTGTAAAGTCGTGGTGCAATATATGTATATGGACGACGTGCAAATTGAAGTCAATCTTGTTGTTAATCTTTTAACACTCAGTTGTCATTCTATAATACGAGCTTTAGAATGTTGTTTTGTTCGTATAGACATACAAGTGCACACTAATTTAATATTCTTAGAAGCGGATATTTTATTTATAATTTTCCGCAGTTGAAATAAGGATTAAATTGGATTAAAATCATTTTAAAATAAAACCTTGATATACACTTATCTCGATGACAACCTATTTCTAAATATATTCGATAACGTCATTTTCTAAATACAAGACTCAAATAAGCACCCAAATATCTGATGATATATAAAATTCTCGTGTCACAACGTTAAGTTACCATACTCCTCCGAAACAGATTGACCAATTTTTATGAAACTTTATATGCATATTCACTAGGTCTGAGAATCGGCTACTATCTATTTTTCATACCCCTAAGTGATAAGGGTTGTCCAACCCTAACATTATTTTAGATTTTGGTTTATTTTTTTATAATGTGGCATTAAACATACATACAGCTCTAAATTTTCACCCTTGGACCACCCATATTTTTATGGCGATACGAATTTCGCTGTGTCAGCTAGTAATCTGATAAAAAGATAAGTAAACATCTTTAATTTATCCAATTTGAGCTTTAATACAATGCAATAAGATATATTTATATCTTTCGCTCTACATCGTAATTATCAAGCATACGGCTCTTTTCACCTAGTTTGTGTGTGGTGAAACAAATTGCAAGTTTGTAAACGTAATTCAAAGAGTCAATAGTTAATAACTATGTTGGCTTTGCTATTACAAAACAAACAAAGCTTAATGAGGGCTATCGCGTATGAATCCGCCGCTAGAGGCGCTAGTGTAGCGTGAGGTCTCCGAAATGTCAAATGTTATTGCTTGTTGGTTGACTACGCGGGTTTATTTCTTATTAAAATAATGTTGTGAATAATTGGTAACAATTCGGCTTAATTATGGCAAATATGAGTTATGTGGCAATGAATGTCAGTTATTAAAAATTTGAGCTTAGAAAAATAATTATGTTCCCATTTTTTCCGAATAAAACGGAACTGCGCGTCGCTGTGGCATGGCCTATTATGTTTAGGATATGGTTTTTTTGTGTTAAAATACTAGATCTAAATGTAACCTTTGATTTCATGTGCGTATTAATAAACTTTAAAAGTTACAATTTAGGACCTCACTCAACAGTGGCGCCATCTGGTGAGACAGAAAACGGTAGCCCTCATTAAGCGATGACTTTAGTCAAGGATCTCATTTAAGCACTGTCGACTCCTGTTTTAATTTTGATTTTTGAAGTGAAACTTCTTTATGCGCGCTTGACTTGGGGGGTAAGCTGGCGAATGCGTTACGCGTTACGAAAAGTGTGTTCAGGCGAGGCGAACGGGAGTTGAGCGGGGGATATAAGCAAGAGAAAGCAGTGTGCGCGCTCGTTTTCTTTCTCTCTTTCTCTTATAGCTAGTAAATGAAATATGTATATGTACATACATGTATATATTGTACACATGTATACACAGGGTGTTACAAAAATAGAAATAAAACTTTAAGGGCGTTGAAGTACATCATATAAGGAGTCTTCTCTAATTTTCTTAAAATATTTGCATGAAGTTTTAACTTTTTATAAAAACAGTTATTTTTAATGATTAATAAAAATATCGATCATTTTAAGACACGTCACTAGTTCGAGGATCATTAAAAATAACTGTTTTTATATAAAAGTTAATACTTCATGCAAATATTTTAAGAAAATTAGAGAAGACTCCTTATATGATGTACTTCAACGCCATTGAAGCTTTATTTGTATTTTTGTAACACCCTGTATATACATACAGATGGAGCTAAAGAAGTTTCACTTCAGTCGTGTGTTCATAAGCACACTCGTTTTTTAAGCATGTAACTGCTCGATGTATAAATCTAAAGAAATATTAATATTATTGTTCCGCTTGGAATTTATCTAGTAATAAACTCCTGTTTTGTTTTAAAAAAGACCTTGAATGTAAAGCACTAAAAGCGAAAATCGTTTGACGTATATTCAACCAACTACTAATAAAGCCTTGACTGTAAAAGATAGCAAAATGAATGAAAAGGAATTTCTTAAATATATAAACAACAAAATCGTTTTAGAAATCTCATTTAATCCAACTCAATATACATAAATAATCACTGTACTACAACACGATGGACAATAAATACATTATTTATACATTTTAAAATATTTTTCATCATAATATAAAAAAAATAGCACGTCACTAACATAATATATCAACATCCCGTATTATTTTTTTCAATACAACAATTATTAAAAATGCTTCTTCTCATTCTATTCGAGACACTTAATCAAGATGGAAAGCTGAAAGTTATTCAATGTAAAATACAACTATGTATATAAAAGTAGCTAAAAGCAAGTTTTCACTATAGTTCAGTGGTTCTTAACCAGTGGCATGGACCAATATAAGCAAAATTGTTAGCCCCCTCAAGTTCGAGTGGTCTAACAGCTCCAGACGGAGAGGAGACTCCCCTCGTGGGGAGACGCCATCCGACTGGAATACCTCTAGAGGCACTCGCCAATTCTCGGCTTGAGGTCCCCTTAGGATCTCGCCGTCCCCGAACCCCGTGACACTGTAAAGGTCATCTGCGACCAACAGCATACACACTCAAAAAAAATATGCAAAAAATTGCATATTTATCAAAATTAGTAAATTTACAACTCACTAGATGTCGCCAATGGTATTTAAACGACAAACATTTGACAATTCGTAATAAAACTTCATCAGCCTCTTTTGAATTACATAGAAGTGCTCTAAACAACGTTAGATGGCGCTGTTCAAGCTAATAGTGTTAGTCCAATGGAAGACCGCCTGCAATATCGCGACTAAGTAATTTTAAACTTTATCCTAACAATAGTACAATTACAAGTTAACGCCTACAGCATTAGCCTATTAAGTGCGTTGATAGATCACTATGTCAGTCAGTCACCTTTGAGTTTTATATACATAGATTATTCTTCTAATCTAACTCGCGTGCAATACATACAGTATATATCACCCGTTTAATTGTGAAAATGACGTTTTTTTATGAAATGTCTCATCATCATCAGCCTTTTAATGTCCCCGCTGCTGGGGCACAGGCCTTCCCTATGGATGGAATAGGGAGATTGGGCCATGACCCACCACGCGGGGATTAGCGGGTGCTAACGACTACAGATGCAGCCGAAATCAACGGCTTAACGTGCCTTCCGAAGCACGGAGGAACTCGAGATAGAAGATTTTTTGTCACCCATCAAATGATCGACTACTGCGAAAGTTGCTTAACTTCAACGATCGCAGCTGAACACCCTAACGCCTACATAAGGCACAAATCGTTAGTGGTGGTCCGTGGCAAGACAGAAATTTTAACAAACGGTCTCTTGTCACTCGAGAGGTTAAGAACCACTACTATAGTTTATAATCCCAACCAATGCCAAATGTATTGTTCCAGTATCGCTATGGAAATGAGATTCAAACTTAAGCATACTTTCCGCCTGTCAATCCCATCAAGGGATATATTGCATGGGAATATGGATAAATATTTGCAGTAAACGTGAATAATTGACGTATCTCTTTTGTTTTCCGTATATTTAGATTATTTTGTTTATGTAGACGACATTTTCGTATTTGGATCGAACTATCTAGAACATCAACGGTAAACTATCGTTTTAACATAATTAGCATTCCATTATTTATAAGAATCAATACAACATTCACAGATTCCTTAAACATTTGTGACTACAACATTTGACATAAATTAGTACAATTTAAGGAATGTCATTGAAATAGTAATTATTTATTTTTAGCTTCATACATTTTGTTTTCATCAGTCCTACTTTTTATTTACACGAATATCCAAATTTGAAAGAACTTGATTATCTATTTATTTTTTATTTGCCACCTTGAGGAATGGCGCTATCCCTTATTTACAATACTAATGTGACAAAGGTAACAATACTTCTTTTTCTATAAATTAATTAAACCAAAATAACGTAAACCGCACACACACACACGATCTTTCTACTATGTATTGAAATACATAGACCATTGAATATCTTACACAAAAACTGCAACTTAACCGCATCGACAACAAATTCGGACTCTATTTACAAGCCCTTTAGGTACAAAAAGCAGTTTATCACTGCCGGTAACTACTCAGCATCTCTGAGAAGAATCTAACGCACATTTATTTAATAATTCTCAACAACAACAAAAAATACAGACATGGTATCATAATACTGAGTACATGAATCACTAGTACTAAATTATCATTTCCAAATCTTATCAAATTATCATTTGTTTGTATATATATTGTTTTAAACTTTCATGGTCACTAACATTATAGCTATTAACGGGATTGTTACCATGTACCTTGTTTTTTTATGAGTCTCCGATATTTATTTATGCCTGCCAATAACATCTACCCGCAATTACTTCAGTTACTCCGTGATCATGGCGCTTGCAACAGTGCCAAAATATCGGAGACTCATAAAAAACAAGGTACATGGTAACAATCTCGTTAATAGCTATATATTTGTATATGTTTAAAAATAGACATGTTTACTCGTGAATTGATTGCTCCTAAATACAAATCAACTTGAACATTATATTTAAATTAAAAATACAAAAGATACCTTTTTAAAATTCTCGATTGGGGAAGTCTGGGTTTTCAACAGACCAAATGGAAAAGCTTTAACGTTTCAAACTTTAAATGATTAGTTTAATTACTTAATTTTCTCTATTTGTTTCTTAGGTTTTCACGCTGTCTGAGATTAGTCTAAACCTATTTATATTTACAGTACATTTCATCTTGTTCTAACAACAGAAACTAGAGAAAATTAAATAAAACTAGTTTTAACGGGTTAATGCACGAAACTTTATTTATTAATTGACGTTTCACAGGCTTTTCAAAACAAAATTAAATAAAAAAACATTCTGACGAAGCAGACCAGAAAGGGCTGCGAAACGTCAATAAATAAATAAAGTTTCGTGCATTAACCCGTTAAAACTAGTTTTATTTAATTTTCTCTAGTTTCTGTTGTTAGAACAAGATGAAATGTACTGTAAATTCAAATAGATTTAGTCTTATCTCATTATTGAATGCATTTAAAAAACAAACGTTAATAATTTGACATTAGACGCGCATTATCACTTCGTATTTTGGCCTTATCCTGAACACCAGATGAAGAAAAGCCTAAGTGCAGAATTGTTGTTTTTTTAAGAAATAATAACTTATCACAGGTTTTGATTGGTAAGTTCTTAGTCATTTCCGAGAGTAAAAAAATATCATAATTAAATGCTTGTTCAATACCTTATGGAGGTAACATTTTAAAATCATATCTTTCTGTTTATAGAAGTCAATTTGATTGTAAACGAAGGGAATAATATGGTCGCTACCTTTTTCAAATAAATGAGTATTTTGAGAAATCATTTACAGTATTGTAAAACGTTTAATAAATCAATTAAAACTGTATTTCATTTTATTAAAAAAAACACAATATTTTTATTCAACTACCTAATCTTTGATATAAAAGTTATTTGGACGCATTAATAAATACAAAAAAAAATATATCCTAAAACTGGTATTTAGTCAAAATACTCAATTATTTACAAATTAAGTTAAACAATACTATTCAAATAGCAATTTAGCTATGTTTGTAGATTGCCTATTTAATATAAAACACTTTTGCAATTCACTAAGCTTACATTTGCATAATATCTTTACGAAAAAGTCTTAAGCATTCTTCAAAGTCCACTCCTTAACCTTGGCGATTAATCAAAATGATAAGTCCCAAAATTTCTGAGAGATTTCTTCAATCTGCCGGTGGAATAACAATAATGGTGCTTCCACTATCATTGCCAGTGTAAATCGCTGCCTTCTCTATAGTTTTAACGTAAACAATTTCTTTGACAAGCCTCTCCGACTTCGAGTCTTTTATAATCTCATCCCCGTTCAATTGTACTACCGAAACATGTTCATTGGTTTGAATTTCTTGATGTTTCTTGATAACCATCGGTGATTCTTGTTTGATATAAACAGTTTGTGTGGATCTAACTTTTCTGAATCTCATATCTTTTGGTAAAGTAGATGATAATGTTTCTAGAGGCGCTGGAGATACACTTCTCGTTCTGGAGTTAATACTTTTGGGAAGAGTATTCGATATTATTTTCGATGGAGAATCGCTACGGGTGTTCGGTACGCTCACAGTTTTAACTAAGCCTATGTCAGCAAAGAACTTCTTAAATTTCTCAACGAAAGTAGGCGACTTTGATCTGTTGAAACTATTGGAAAGTCTTTCATTCGATGGTTCTTTGGAACTGACTTCTTCAATTTTCTCTGGTATATTAGACATACTTTTATGTTTCTCTAAAATGTAAGGTCTTTTTCTGAGCCTATTTTCTTCATCCTCGTCATCAATAAAAGGTATGTCTTGTAAATTATTCTCGTTTCTAGTATCGACACTGGCGTCTTTAACGAATTTCACAACTGGATTTTGTGTTTCTACGTAAATTTGTGGTACGCTCGTACTAGTATTGTCCGTTTGTATTCCGCTGTCGGCCAAACTTCCGTTAATATGGGAACTTCCGGCACCAGTGCTCAAAACTTTAGTCAATTGATCTGATAGTGATTCCATACGATCTTGTATGGCTGTTCTGTAAACGTTGTCGTTGTAAGAAGGACCAGGTAGATTGGAAGTATCAAAATCTATGCGTCTTTGTAAAGTGTTAATTCTATCTCTGTCTATGGTCTTTAGACGGTCAGAGAGTACGGAAGGATATTCGGTGGCTGTCTGAGCGTGTCTTTGGTTCCAAGTCGATATAGTTGTGTCAGTAAAATCACTCATACTAGATCTTAAAGAAGACCTAGGTGATAATCTAGAATGTTGCCTCATATAATCGGGGTTGTAGTCCTTTATTGGCCTGCCGATGTAAGTGCGTCCTGGCAACACAGGGCCTTATTAGTTTTTTTTGTCTTTTTTAAAGATTTTTTGGTACATTTCAGTTTATTTATTTCTATCCCCACTGCTTAAATGCATGTCTTTTAGGGGCGAATCCTTTTAAAATTTTAAAACACTTTAACCAACACCATTAGCACAAAAAATATGAAACACACCACAAACGCAGTTTTTTAAACCGACTTCAAAATGAGGGAAGTTCACAGTTCGTCGTTATAATAAAAAGGACATCGCGACGAGTTAGCAATGGCGGAAATTGAACAAAAATTAAAAGAGGAAAGAAAAAAAACATGAAAATTTCCACTAATCTATTACGTCAACAGTAAGGTCGAAATTACAACAGCAAACCAGGTCACAAACACCGGGGAAGGATAATAAGGAGTGGGGATAACAAAATAAACTGAAATGTATACTAAAAATACTATAGGTACCAAAAAAACAAATTTCGCATTCACTTAAAATGTTAGGATATGCGGGGTCACTACTATACGTTAAAATAAAATAAAAATGGTTAGTAAAAAAATAAAATACAAATAGAGCCTGTGCGGAAAGAGAATGGGCGTGGCGAAAAACGGAACTAACATTAAGATTTTAATTTGGCAATCAAACCCAGCAATCTGTAAAACGTCAAAGTTTTGTATTGATACGGATTTGTCTGTTGTTGTGATTTCTCGCGGTTTTTTGTATTTAATCATGTCTAAAAGGGGCAAAACCTTACAAATACGTTAGAAAAGCACTACAGCGCCCTCCAATCTAAATCCCATTCTCTTTCCGCACAGACTCTAGTACAAGTCCCATATAGCGAGCGACTTAAAAAAAGGGGTTAAAAGGTTATATAATTAAATATATATGTATATATAATATAAGATTAAAGATTCTGTAGAAGTAACAGGTTACAAAATACGACTTCAGCCGCACTCAAAGAAGTCAATTAACTTTTAAGTATGACTAAAACTGATGCTGTCATTCATTAAGCAATAGAATGGTGTCAATTCTGACACGATTCTCTAAACCTAAACTTAAATTTGACAACAGTGTATCCTTGTCATTCTCTATACAGAATGAAAAGGAGAGATTGATGTTAATTTTAGTTTTAAGTTTACAGAAAATGAGAACTTAAATAAGCATTGAATTAATTCGACATTTCTGAGTACAGTTGTTAGTAATAAATCTTTCATCGCCTTGTCAAAAGGCAAAACTTTTTATAACCACCAGTTTTAAAGAAAATTCTATTTATGAATATATAAGTATTGGACTTACCAGGTGTATCTACTTCTTCCTGCGGTCTCGATGGCTTGGCGATACTTTTACGTTTTGATGGGGAGTGTTTCAGTGCTGTGAATGCAGATTTTGAAAGATTAGACTTACGACCTTTTGCGTTGGGGGCGACGTTTGAAGTATTATTTGTGACAAAACAGCTTTTACTAAAAAGCAAAATTTTAAAAATGTGCTTGAAACATTAGAAATATGAATAGAATTTCAGCCCTATCAATTTCATTAAATCATCAACCTTGTTGTTAACGTAGCAAAGATCAATTTAGTTTGCGCCTCAAAACAAGTTTCGCAAAAAGTTGTATTTATGAAATTACTCCGGTGAAATAATTTCACATGCATATTCAATGATATAATTATTTGTTTTTTAAGTTTTCAGGCACATCACTCATTAAATAAAACTAGTTTTAACGGTTTAATGCACGAAACTTTATTTATTTATTAACGTTTCGCAGCCTTTTCAGGTCTGCATCGTCAGAATGTAAATAAAGTTAAAACAATAAATAAATAAAGTTTCGTGCATTAACCTGTTAAAAGTAGTTTTATTTAATGATATAATTATATTCAATTTAAAAAATAAAAGAGGAAAAATTGTTCGACAAATTATACTTCAAACAAGTATGTGTGTTACAATTGAAAACAGTTCTAATTCTTAAGCTATTAAGATTCGTTTTCGTATGCATGATTCGCTTCCAAATTCTCAAACGGCAGAAAATGGTGTTAAAGCACTAAATGTACTGAAGCTAAATGAAAAATAAAATAAAAAAAATAGCATAAAAGTGAGAAAGACGTATAAATAAGTAAAAAAAATTGTTAATGTTTATAAACTTTTAACAAAGGTACTTTTAAATGGCAACATTGATATCCAGTTAGCAAAGTATTGGCTTTGTGAAAGAAATCTGTCAAATTCGATTTTTTTTTAGTTTGCTCAAATGTTTGGGTCACATAGTAAAGCATTGGGTCCAATATTGGCACAGTAGATGAAGATTGAGGAGCCCGATAGCGCAGGTGGTTAGCGCGTTCGGCTGCGATCGTTGAAGTTAAGCAACTTTCGCAGTGGTCGGTCATTGGATGGGTGACCAAAAATGTTCCATTTCGAATTCCTCCGTGCTTCGGAAGGCACGTTAAGCCGTCGGCTGCAGTCGTTAGTACCCACCAATCCGCACTGGGCCCACGTGGTGGGTCCATGGCCCAATCTCCCTATTCCATTCCTAGGGAAGGTCTGTGCCCCAGCAGTGGGGACATTAATAGGCTGATGATGATGATGAGATGAAGATTGGCTATTGTGGTAAAAACGTACACCAATATTGGTACCAAAGTGCAGGTCACATAATATGAAGTGAAGTTAGCTAAACGAAATGTAACCATTAAATTCTGCATAGAAAGTCTACCAATGCAGTCTTCACTCGACTTCCGAGTTAACAGTGACTTGAGAAAATTCGACACTGACAAAATTTATCGAATTTGAATTAGATTAATTAAAATACAAAAAATAAAATTCAATGCAAAGTGTTTCGAAATAAAAAGAAAATGAAAAACAGAAAGCGATGTGGTAAAAAATTTCGATTCAATGAAAAAGAGAATGAATAGAGCGAGATAGAAGATGGCACGGCGATACGAGGGGGCGGGGGTGAGACACAAGATGGCACGCCAATACGGGAACATCTAGCTACTTCCGTTAGACAGGGACAGAATGATGGGTGACCAAGCTTGGGTAGATGGCGCCACTGAGCGTAGATTAATAGCATTGCATTAAACAGTGGACGGTGGATTAATAAATATTGCGACGACACACAAACGAATGCAGCTGATGCAAACACATTTTTAATACGATACTAGAAAACAGTTCAAATTTTATTTTTTACGACATATGTTCAGTCAATTTATCTCATCCGATTTTGAGCCATGACACGAGAAAGATAAAACTCAAAATTTATTGGAGATATTTGACAGCTTCAAGTTAGAAAAAAAACCACGCGGACCAGGCAGCAGACGGGACTCGAACCCGCACCCTTCGCAATCCGGGCGAATGCACTGACCAATTATGCTACCGCGGCCCTCACGGACCGCGTCGAAATTCTTCTAGCCATTTCACAAGGTTTTTTTTTTCTAGTTATATTTTCTTTAGATTTAAACATCAAGCAGTTACATGCTTTAAAAAATAATAAAAAATATAGCTTCAAGTTACTTGAGCTGTGGCTGAGTACAGACTGCTTGAAATGTCATTTTTTGCTATAGTTTATTCAAATAGACTTATTGTTAGCTCTTTTGAATCGCCCAATATTTTTTCCTTCCACCCGTTCAGGACATCACAGACAGGACTTAGCTGATGAGAAGAATGGGTGCAAGAAACTCCTCAGCATTTAGGAGCCCTTTCACATTTTTTGCAAAACATCGTAATTTTTGAGCACCTCGTTTACCCCCTTAGAAAAGATTTTGACTATTTCCACTAGAAGTTAACAGTAGATTTATTCTTCCTATTGTAAGTTAATGTAGAATATTTGCAAATACTATTTTCCTTTTTTTGTACTGATCGTTCTACCGCAGCTAGTTTACGGAAAATACGATAATATGCACAACTTCAGACGCCTGAATCTCTAAATGATGTTCAATAAATTAGATCAAATTAAATATTACGACATCAGAAATATGATTTTGTTGTAATATAATGTATTAGAATTTTGATTTTCCATCTCATTAATTATCAAAATAATCTAACCTCTGTCAGTTTTGCCAAAAAATAATGCAGGTTTACCTCGTACTTTGATATTGAATTAAATATAATTACTATCAAAAACTTTCATTAAACTAATCAACCATCATTGAACTATTGAAATATGTATATATTTTTATAATTCATTAATAATTATTTTATAAGACTCGAAACATCACCCGTAAAATGCAATATATACTAGTGCAAATCTACCTACGCGCCGGTCAGTACGGCAGCGGCGCAATTTTATAAAAGGGCTCTTAAGAAAAATCCATATTTATAAATACATAATGAATCAAGGAACAAATAATAAATATTCACATTAGGGTAGTGTTACCAATGACCGACAAGAAAATACACTAATGATCGAGATTTCGTTTCATGATCAATGAAAACAAGAGCAGGCAACCGATTGCCAAAGATGGTAACACTGAGCTTTAGACACTCAGTGTTACCATATCCAGGGATCAGCCAATCACACCTACTTTCATTGATTACAAAAAAAAAATACGATCACTGGCTCCTGTCGGTCATTCGTCATTTACCCTACATCAACATTAAAAACTTCAAACTGTACAATATCAGTCAGTACCCTTAGTACGAGTTTGAGCTCACGAAAACTAACATAGTTTTCGTGATTGTACATTATGTTTCTATGCCCATTTTGGTGAAAACTAACCAAATATACTTAAAATTTAAGAATACGCAAATGATTAAATGATAGAATCTATCTAAACACTGTTTATTTGTATTGAAACGAAAACAATAAAATCAACGAGTGCGAGCTCACGAAAACTATCATAGTTTTCGTAATTGTAAAACTCGTACTAAGGGTACAGATCGTAAGATTGCCAAAGCGAAAATAATTTTAAAATATGTTTGCACCAACCGCATTTGAATACAAAAAGAACACAAGTCAGGAAACCGGTATTTTCCTAAAATCTATGAGCGGTAATAATCATAATTGAAATCGGAATCTCGGTATCAAAATACGGTTCCGGATTTTAACCGGGCATGCTTCAACAAGTCGCACTCACTCAGGCCTCCAGTGACGCGCGCCAGAATCCATTTCCGGACAATAGTTTGGAACAAATTGAGGGGAAAAACAGAAAACACAGGTATTATTCTCGGATGGCAGTGTGTGCACACGACACGACAACACAGAATTCTCGTAACCATTGCCAATCAAAAAGTTAAAAAAAAAAAACTAGACAATACACCGTTAAAGGAGATCAGGGGGCGTGCGTGACTCAAAAACACGAAAAAATTAATGAAACAAAAAATCTATAACTGCCATGCGATCACAATTTTCAATTTGCGAAAAGAAAAGAACGACATCCAATTTTTATTAATTTAAAAAAAATGGCTACCAAAACAAAAGAAAAAAATTGACCAATCTCTAAAACATGCCTAACGAAAAAAATAAAACTATTGTGTTAATGTTAATAAATAATTGATGAAAATAAAAGTTTGAAAAACCAAAGTTAACATTCAGCTCAAAAAAAAAATACACTTCCACGCCTACTTAGTTAAAAATTAGGATTGGGTGTTGGCCGCAATTTTTTCGATTGCAGGGTACAAAATCAGACTGAAGATTTTCCCAAATATAAATAATTTTAGTGCAAGTCCAGATTATAAAAAAATATATGTTACATAATAGCAGTTAAATAGCCTGTTACATAAGTGTAGCATTTGTGTTAGTAACAAAGTTTAATAACATGTTATTAATTTGTCTAACAATATTAAATAACTTTACTGCAAAAGTGTCTATAACATTGTTATATTGGAATGTTATTTGAGTATGTACAGTCTTGTGTACTACCACAATGTTTAGCAACAATGTTACATTACGTAAACGTTAAAGTATAACAAATGTTATATAATCTGGACGCACTTTAAACCGCAGGGAATTATTAATTTAATTTAATCTTTCTTAGACTAAATTAGAATGACTGAACGAAGGCACGACGGCGTTCATACAATTTAAGAAACACAGTTCCCTAGGATTTGCTCTTTTTGCTTGTTTAGGCCTCCTTTACAGTCCTTTACAGTTATTTACAGTAGTATTACAGTTTATTACAGTCATTTTATTTTATAGCGGTAATAAAAAAAAACACTTTTGTCATAATTTTAACCATCATTGTGAGGAACGGTCCACTGATAGAAGTATTTTATATTTAAGTACGGAATCCTAAATATAGTCAGTAAAGTCTTATTATATATATATATTATAGTCTTAATGGTTTTTTTTAAAGAAAATTTTTAATTTTTAATTCTTCGTAGAATACTTTGTACTTTATTTATATCAGGGTCATGATGATTCTTGATATTCTGCTATTAAACAAAATAT